GTCACTAATGAGTTGCAAGAGTGCCAGAAAGAATACCAAAGAAAGCAACAATTTTTCAAAGGCAAACATAACACAAGATAGAGAAAAAACAATTGTTAGCAATGTAGTTAGTGATTAAATGCATTGCCAAAAGTAGCCTGTGAGCAGGCTTTCATTATTAGCTCTTTGGCACAAGCATTTATTCTTTGCCCACAGGAAAGCATGAGGCCTTAAGCAACCCAAGCTGGGGAGACCCCCAGCCAACCTCTCCCTGACTTGTTTTACATCTATGGGGGGGAAGGGGTGGAAAAAGGTGTGTCTCTCAGGGCTAACAATGAGGGACTGCTCTCTGGCTATGCTAAAAATGTATAACAGTGTCTAATACAGAGGATCACCAAAAAGTTTTTGAAATTTTGGAATGATTGAGGGTAGGATTTTGGTGGGAATAAAAACATCTTGAAAGAATGGTTAGAATGGGAAATGATAACATCTGTTTTTTCATTGTTAGCGGAAGAAAAGAGAATGACAAATATAGATGGATTTCAGACAGAATAGATCATCTGAGTTTTCTGATATGTTTCATCGTTGTCTGAAGCATAGTTTATCAACTGATTGCTGTGAGACTAGTTATGTCTAATTTTCATTGAATTCTTTAGTTCTTTCCAGCCATGAGTTGTGTGTATCCTCAGAAAATACTGTGTTCCTTGCACTGATGAAATGGGCAGAGGTGAATGAAGTGTTTGATGATCAGCTTGAGCCCCTGTTGGAATTGGTTCGCTTCAAAGCCATGACCATTAATTACCTACATGATGTTGTTACCAGTGATCACCCAATTGCTTCTACAGTTGCTAAGTTTCAACTGATGTTTGAAGAGGCTGTTTTTTACCATGCATTCTCTAAGGTATGTGATATGATAAGCTGAATTATTTATTACCTATAAATAATGAATTACTTTTGATCTTTTGGGTACAGATGCATAGAGGACATCACCATTAACAAATGTTGCTTTCTTTATCATGCAAAACAAAAAGATTCCATGTTGTGGTGGGTCTGTACAACAATAGCTCACAGAAGACATCAAATTGTTGAAAGAACATTATTGATACACTCAGCTTCACTTGATGCAATCTATTTGTTAACTATACTATTCATAGTGAAAACTCATGAATGTACTGCTGTTATTATACCATCAGTTATCTTGACAAGGTGACTCACTACTACTTATCAGCCAACATTTGGAAAGCTTTCTTTAACCCTTTACACCCTGAAATCAGTATGCATATTCTCCATTCTGTTCTCCATAAATTTCCTAAGGTGCTTATAAGGAGAATTTGTTTAACAATCAAGAGCTTCTTAATTTGGTGATTGTTATGGTGTAATTCAGGGGTGATATAGTAAGAAGAAATTAGATGCTAGTCACTGTTAGTCAGTACGGTATTTGTCCACACCGCTTGCTTCAGATGCCAATATTTTAATCGTTAGGTTAACCTGTTCAATTAATCTCCCATTGTATGTTACTGAACGCGGCTGCAATGCGTTCAGACTTGAAAACATAAATGTTTTGCCAATATATTTTGTCAGGAGAGACAGTGTGAGGAGGGAGAGCCTGTTGGCAGGAAAGCTCATGATGATCCAGTGGTGTTTAACTGGACAGTGGACATTGGAGAAGATATTGAAGTAGAGAAGAAAAAGAAGATCATCAAATCACCGCATTTCTGGGTCAGCGGATACGAAATGTAAGCTGTCTACCGGCTTTTGGGGAAAATGATGCTTTGATTGGTAGTACAGTACCAACAAGTGGGCGGTAGATGTTCTAGAGCGGGAGACAAAGAAAGTGTTAGGAGAATGGAAATAGTCTGGAAAGAACGGTTTTGAGAGCTTTTTCAGTTATCTCTAAATAACATTTAAATTTGTTTCTATTGTAGCTTTGCTGAGATGTAATTGCCTTTTCAGGTTCCTTGAGCTGAAGCTGAGGACTTCCGGGTGTCAAGGCCTATATCTGACAATAAGCACACGTGACTTCCGCCATAGTAGCAAAGGATTCGTCAAACTTGCTTATTCTCTGACATCCAACTTTCCTAAGGCTACACGAGTAATCAACGAAGCGGACGTGTTTGATAGAGAAGGATCCGGCTGGGGATACGAAGAATTCTTTCCTTTAAGCTGGACTGAATTCAAAGATCAGTTGAAAAGAACTCCTCTTATAATAACATCTCAAGTCAGTCTTCTGGAATAGCGTAGAATTTGATCCAGTCCAATTTATTTCGATGTTGTTTCACCTTGTTCGCTTTTTCCAATCTTCATATAGTGAGGCAACTATTCTCTCTGAGTCGAACAGTGTGTTTCAGAGAAATGTGTTTTAAAGTATTTTGAAAATGGAATGAAACTGTTGCGGGAAAGTGATAAGTCGAAAGGAAACTTCCAGAGAAGATTTGAGAAGACCCAGAAGTATTTTTGTTTTCTAAAGCCTTTCATAGCTTTTGCAACACCCTTACACATCTTGCAACCTTTGTTACTTTGATTTTATATTTATTGATTTATTTATGTAGAATTGTTGTTTATTTATGGTTATTTGTTTATAGATGTTTTTTGGCGTCTTTGGAAGAGTCGTAGAGATTAAGATCAAACGATCTGTGATATTTGAACCCACGAAATGTAGAAACACAGATTTTGTGTTGTCATTCGAAATGACAGTGCCACTGATCCAGATTTTTCGGCGAAGGAAATGTAGATCATTACCAACGGTTTTCTTTGTCAGGATTTCACGTCGAGCGACCGAGTAAAGGTGTCGTGCAATCACGCGGCACTGAGTATTTCGTCTTCGCACGCTTTTTATCCCACTAGACATAAAAAGGAGATAAGAACTTTTCGTACATGCAATGTTAAAGAAATGAACTGTGTGGACAATTCTTTTTTAGTGAATGTTCTTGCATCAAGAACATTTGACATTGATCCGACAGCAGAAGCAAGATGAAGCAAAAACGAGAAACTATAGCGCAGAAAGGATGAGAAAAGCGCAAAAGAAATGTCAGTATTGTTTGAAAGTTAGAGCTGAGGTTTCGCGAACGATAGAATAAGAAGCTTTGTGATAATTACTGGGAGTCCGCACATTCACTCCAAGAGGTCTCAACAAGATTATAGCGCCGCTTTGCTTTGAGCCATAAAATATTTGAAAATACTGACCTGTGCAATAAAACCTTTGATTGTGTCACTGTTAGTAGTAATTCACTGCGATCAGTTACAAGATCTACATTTCAGAAATATTTAGCTAGTCTTTGGCGGTTTCTTGTACTTAACGCTACAGCAAAGCCAGATAGAAACGCTAACTCCACTCGAGCTGCCAAATGATTTAGATAATATTTTTATTCAGCCGAAGCTTCAGAAGTCGTTTGTGCCTTAAATCACTCTGAATTTAATTACTCATTTCTCTATTTATTTTAAACTTTCCTCTAGAAATTCTCAGACTTCTACCATCACCCACATAATTCCTGACTCCATTATGCCCTGTCAATCTTTATTTCTCTCTTTTTTTTAAGTAAACCTCTGATGGCGTTCTCGTCAAATCATCGAGTTATTGTGTTCAGGCGTGTTCTTGTCGTCAAATCTTCGTCAGAATGATTTCTATTACTGCTTTAATGTTACATAGATAATTCGGTTTATCAGCCAAGTTGATAATGTGAATTGTTCACCGCGAATAGCTTCTAAAGCTGACTTTTCGAACGTTAGCCCTTCGTTGGGGCGAAAATTACGTTTCCATGGCCTGTTTTTCTTTCTGCTCCCATTTTAAGTGTTCTTGTGGGATTTTGCTTGATGTAAATTGTGAAGTATTTGCAGTTAAAGGGTATCGTTCTCTATCGTAACATGCTAACCGTGGCTTCCTATGTGAGCCGGGCCGAAGAAATTGAGGCAAGATTCACTTTAATCGAGGGGTACAGTGTACTCATTACGAGCGAAAAGCAATGATTCCATTATTCATCTTTGCCAGTCACTTCTTAGGTTCAAAGCAAACAAAGACGAAAAACAACATGGAATTGGTTGAGCTTGTTTCTTGTAATCGGATTGGTCAGTTTTGGGTAAGTGGCCTGATAACAAGGAGGCTTCTCATGGCTTGAATCATAACCATTAAAGTTTCCACGCGAATGACTGGTGCATTAGCCGCTATGTTTTTTACTGAGCATTCTGTACAGTTGTAATCGGACAGTTGGTTGTAATCGTACACCTGTAATCGGACAGTAGAAGCAGCCAATCATACTGAGTCTACTCAGCTAAATCTATCAATCACAGAATTGATCACGGTAATCATAGACCATCCACTTATCCTGGGAAAAAATTAACGTTGGGGAATTTCCAAAACGGAGGAACTTTCTTCTTTAGACGTTGTCTCTATCAGAGATGTTTGTCCTAAATGTATTTTTTCTTTCGGAAATTGTAACGGTTATGAAGAATTGATAACAGGACTTCGTGTCTTCCAATTTTGCCTGTAATCATACTCGTGATTGACAAATCGGAATCCCGCCTCGCGGCCGCCCGATTTTGCCAATTACTCGTACGATTACAGACCGAATTGGACTCCACTCGCTCCTATTGCCATTATAAATCGACATTCCGTAGTGACTACCTCCAGCGACGGACTGTCTTATTATATTACTTGGAATCCAACCATCTGGTTTGCGATAGCCCAGGTTTTTCGCACTTGGTTTACCCAAGTGTGGGAAGTTGGAAGAGGACATCAGTTTTATTGTAAGTTGCTTCGATTTATTCAAGGACACAAGGTAAACTGAACTTCTCAGTTTTCTAAAAAAAAAATAATATTGAATAAATTTAAACACAAAATAAATAAGATTTACAAAGTAAAACTTGAATATCAAGCACATCTTGAGTTTGAAATCGAGCAAATCACACCACTTAATCTTGTTTTGCGTTTGAAACAGGAGTCTTCTTGAAAACATGAGGCATCTGGTGATCACACAATGATGAGTCCATTTTTAAATCGCATTGTAGGCTGGCACGCAGATGCAGATCTAAATAAATAAAAACCACGTAAAGGCAACATCAATTACTGTTAATACCATATCGGTCTGTACGAATATACCCATTTGTTGGGGGTCAGAAACGGTTCTTGAGTTATCGCCAGTACGTGCAGAGGTGTTTTGTACGGAACGTCTGGTTGCTTAAACCACTTGGTGGTTGTGGTTTCTGATGGGGCAGAACCAGGTTTTCCTTCAAGATGAACACGCGGAAACCGTCTATACCGGCTGTTATCATTTCCCTGGAGACCTTGGTAAGACGCCATATAGCACGAGCGAGGGTCATTATTTGTCTCCCATGTGATCAGATTGTTGGAGTAGTGCTGACATCTGTCGGGAAAAGTTCGACGTCCAAGTCCCTGAAAGAAAATGAAGGTTTAAGGAACCAAACAACCAAAAAAACGGATTAACAACAACAACAACAAAAAAAAAAATGCACGGATTTATTTTTTCCATGGCGGCGCCACATCGATTAAAATACTAAACCGTTTCGGTGTCTTAGTACAGTATCATGGAGTCGAGCTAATAAAGTTAATCAAGAGCGCTCTTTTTGACAGGTTGAATTCATGAGCGATCTTTTAGCGCATGGGTACCAAGTTTGACCGAAGTATGCCGTTTAAGTGTCGTATCTGTCCTTCTTAAGTCACGGTGTCTCTCTGGGAAAGAATCGTTGCATGCGTGCGCATTTGGGGAGCGCGAGAAAATGCGTTTACGCACGCGCAGAAGTTGCTTGCTCCTTTATTGTATACCGTACTATAAATATGGAGAACGATTTTACCAAGTAAAAGCTCTTTTTAAACCTGACTTTCCTAGGAATATGATCGAAAAGTGATCGCGACTGCCTTACGTTTCCAAAGTACTCTCCCTGGTCTTGGAATGTATGTCTGTTATCGTGTGTTGAAAAAGCAAATCTTCTGAACGGGACCTATTGAAACGGAACCAAAACAAAAACAAAATCATCAAACAGCGTTCACTCCTCCATTACACCATCTTGAACTTTCATCAGATTTCATACACAAAGTGTTTGATAATAGTACAATTAATCATTGATTTGAAGGTCGAAGAAGTTTTAAAGATATAAATAGTTAATCTTAATATTACCTCGTGTTTGCTGTTAAATCTCGTGGGAGGGGATGCCACCCTTCGTTCTTGTGGTTTAGTGACATCGAGCGTCCTAGGCCAGCCCCGCGTAGAATACTGGGACAAAACATTAGAAAAAAAACAACAGTGCAAGGTAAGTTTACATTAAAGCACCATTGGGAAAACTGGAGAAAAAAAGAGTCGGTTGCGTTGTGTCGTCCATGGTGAGACGTCAAATTGTGATGTTCTAGCGAAATCTAACATCTGTCGCATTCACATCTCCTCGAGATTTGGCGCCTCTGTCGCGATCTATTTAGTATGAATCACTCGTTTTTCATCTCCGGGTTATAGTAGCTTTTTATCCCAAACACGCTCTCAGTCAATAGACGCGAGAAAAGGAGCGGGCAATTGATAAAGCGTTTGTATTTGTCATAGAAACGCCTGCCCCTCCACTTTTCAGTGCGTCCTTTTTTGCCCCTTTGAGCTAACCGAAAGCCTGGCATATGCTTGATAAAGATATTTTTATCGTAAAATTTGAGCCCAAGGCCCAGGGACATTGGAGAAAGATGTCTTTTCGTCTGAAATTAGTAATAACGATCTCCCTCTGTGGAGAAAGTCCCCACAGTGCTTACCTCTCTAGCGATTGCTTTCCAGATCCCACCCTCCCAGTTTAATGTTTTTCCGTCATGTCTCTGTAAGTGAGCACTATCCTTGTCTGGCGCGAGGTTGCCAGCTTTCGGAGGTCTCGACAGTTTATGATTAGAACTATTGAAAAGTTTTTCGTCTTTTTTACAATTCTCTGGTTGGCAAAATATCTAGTTAGCCAGACCTAGTATGGCTTTGCATAGTTTGACAATAATTGACAAATTCATTCAGCTGCTATTTTGACGACGAATCATGTTTATTTTTAAACATGAGGCTACGAAGAGGCCACAAATTTCCATAAATACAAAACCTTGTCACTTTCGTTTGTTTAAATAATTTGAGGCCTAAGTGAGTTTTTGTGTACATAATGACCTTCATTTAATTGCAAAACAACTTCTTGGCAGAAGATGACTTCTAAGTGAAGTGTGTCTACCTAGCGAGCCTTCTTTCGTTGATTGACTCGAATGCATAAATATTAACTTTTACATTCGGTGAAACCAGCCTATGAATAACAGATATAAAGAGCAGCGGCTTTCCTGACAAGGCCTTGTTTTCATCATAGTTTGCATGTTTCTTTGACTCTTGCGTGTGAAAACAAATCGACAGATAGTAGTTTGTGATTTACACACATATTCTCGAGTTATAACGTGTGTAAATTCGAATAATTTATACGATCTTCGTATCATTTTTTCTTGGGCTGTATTAAACAAATAAGTAACAAAAGAGTCTCCCCCAGCGGTTTATGTCAATTCAGTTTTGCACGGCGATCTAACAAAGGATTTTCACTTTACTCGACTCACCCAGTTTCCTTCTTTCTCCTTCGATGGAGCGAATGTTCGACCTTTTGCCATGTCCTCTTTTCATTCAATTTGAAAGCAATCTATCTTTTCATCTCTGAATCCCTCCCGCGGTTAGGAGGTTGACTATGGAGCATCTGTTAAGTAGATTGTTTTGAGTGAGTATCAATTCCCAAGTCGCTACGATGCCTTAGCAACCAGCCCGCTGACTACAAGTGATCGTCGTGACTTCTGACTAACCTTCAATGGCGGCCAAAATCACAAAATCTGCGCATGTATGAAGCGGTTCGGAATTTTGTCTATGGAAGGGGTTGGAAGTGCTCTTCGGAGTGTTATTTCTCGAGTAAAAGAAGCAACAGCAAAGCGGTCGAGTGTAAGGGTCGTCTTTTGTGTTCAGTGCAATGTCAGAAAATTAGCCATTTGAGGGAAAGCTTATGTTTAATTGAATTCAAATGACTTTCTCTTCTCAGGAGCTTCCTAAAACAGCTCCTCGTCTGGTTGCAGTCAGCAAGTTAAAGTCATTAGACTATGTTATTGAAGCTTATGACAATGGACAACGACATTTCGGCGAAAACTACGTGAGTGGATTTAGGAGGTTTAATTTATGGCTGGGGGTGGGTTAGGCCTGGTTACGTTTTATTTAATAACAATCACTCATCAAATTTCGTTGAGCCTAGGGAGAATTAATGTCTTGATGGTTGTTTGCCAAATTGAAAACTGATGCTTCAGTATTATTAATAGCCACCTTGCTCAGAGTGATCTCAGACAAATGTTACATAATCAACCAATAAAGCAATAGCATTTCTTGAGTCAGCTGAGCAATTTTACCAATATATAACATTGATCAGGCTTACTCAACATTTTATTTGGTATAAAAATTTCGCATACCTTTTGAAACTCAGCTATTCAAATTAGTTGTGCAAGTGCATCACCTTTGCAATATTTGGATGTTCAGAATTAGAATTGCTTGGTAATTACCTTATTTATTTTATAACCTAACTTATTAAGGAAGTGACCTTAGTACCCAAGAAAATGGCAAGAGAGACATGACCATATTTCATGCTTCTTCCTACTCTTTGCACTTTTATTACTTCCTGCAAGCTTTTACGCCAAAACATAGCACCTCAATGAGTTTCTCAAAAATGTTTAATTTTTCAAGATGTTATTTTCATAGGTTAAAGAACTGATAGAAAAGTCAAAAGATGTAAAGGTATCCTGCAAGTTTATACTTGTTATGGTTTACTTAGTGTACTCCCTTATTTTAAGCACAACAGGTCAACAGAATTTCAAACTAGTAAAGTAATCTTTTTACCTGGTGATTTTTCAAGAGTTCAAAGCAATTTAAGGCAGAAATAAGAGTTATTAGAAGCAGTGAATTTTACCTGTTACCACCTGAAGAGGAGAAATTGTTAATTTTCCTATCTATAGCCAATATCTCCTTCTGTTTTTACCTTTGGTACATACTTCTGGTAGTATCACTGCTGTGGTATTGGTAACATTTGGTATTCTTTTCTAGGCATAGGACAATTATGCTAGTCTTAGTCATATGGTGCTAAGGGGAATCTGAAATGTTTTCAGTGAAGTCTGACTTGGAACCATTGATGTATTTTACACAGAGTTACAATGATTTACATAATGATGAACAAACCCTTTCCTAAATCATCTCACAAAATGACTTTCTTATTTTCCCTTCATGTGTATGACAGATTCAGCCACTTAATGACATAAGGTGGCATTTTATTGGTCATTTGCAGAGTAACAAATGCAATAACCTTGTTGGTAAGGATTGAAACACTTTGCTAACTATTTTAGTGTTACTGAATATGGTCAGAAGCTGGGGGATCATTTGATCTTGTAGTTGGATAGAAACTGGCTAATCACGGCTGACTTGTACTGCTTGAGACTTATAGCCAATAACTTCAAGGTTAAACTGACCAATCAGTTTACACAAACCAGATTTATAACACTCAACTGACAACAACTCCTCACTTGACGCTGATGGTTACAACAAGTTTTCAAAGTATCAGTCACCACTAACAAGTGACAGTGATATGATCATATCTTAAAGTTTATTAATGTTCTGAATATTCACTTTTGGGAAACAATTGCCATGATTATCTATATTGGCTCTAGTTGTTGTCCATTTACTGTATATTATTATCAACCTTTTCACTTCCAAGATCTTATTATGACATGAATCTCATTATAACATGAATATCATAATATTATTGTTATCAATATTTCATTAACATGTAATTCTCCTCACTATCTATTGTGTATGTGTATTTTCTATATTGTTAACTTTTAGTATTTAATCAGTTTGTGTCCCCTAGTTGAGATGTGTTCCTTGTTTTCATCACCAGTCAGCATGATGTGTATTGATATTGTATGGAGAATTTTATTTATCTGTTCATCCTGGGATTGAAAGACTTGCATGAAGTCAATTCAAACTATGTTTATTGGGACCATTTTGGCTTTCTCTAATATAGGAGTGCCAAACCTTTTCATGGTGGAGACTGTGGACAGTGTGAAGCTTGCCAACTCTCTTAATATTTCCTGGGGAAAACTAAACAAACCCAGTCCTCTTAATGTTATGATACAAGTTAACACAAGCAAAGAAGAAAGTAAGTGCTACTGTTTCTCAGCCTAAGATGAAGATCAATTGTTGTGTTTCTACTTGCAAGTTTGCAAACTCAGTACTACTCACTAACACTTTTAAGAAGCCAAGTTAGTTAGATATTTAATGTATATTTAATGTTCAAACTTTTGAATTTAGAAGGCGGTATAGTGAAATAAATGGGCCAATCATTGTGAACATTCTTACTGAGAGATATGATAATTATGTTTATCTCCACTGATGTTGTATATAACGAAAACTTGTTGGCCAAAAAAGCACGCCAACAATTAAAAAAATGAAAACTTAAGGATGGCATTTTACATTTGCCCTGTTATGAAATGGCAGTACAGTTGAATAATATGGTAACTTCTCTTCAGGTAAGAGTGGATGTCTACGTGATCAATGTGCAGAACTTGTGGAACACATTATCACCCACTGTGCGCATTTAAAGTTTTCAGGACTAATGACCATTGGGGAAATGAATCATGACTGGAGTCAAGGTCCCAATCCTGATTTTACTGTAAGCAGATTGTGAAACTGTCTTTCTTTTATTTTTATTGATCAATAAGTGAGAAAGGGTGCAAAACATGTACTGGTTAATGTAATGGAGCATTTTTGTTTGTTTGTTTGTTTGATTTTTTTTTCCTCGATGAAATGTATGAAAACATACATAACAATTTTGTTTGATGCAATAAACACATTTTTCACTGTTGATGCAATTATTGTGAGATGTAGAAATGGAGTCTACTTTAATCAATGATACAACATTGTAAAACAACATGCAACACATAATTGTTAGGAAAGTTACACCAGATAATTGGGTGAACAGTTTTTTGTCCATGAAGTGTTGAAATAAAACTGGTTATAACCCTACCTTCAATCTAAACACAATGAGGCCTCAATATCCTTGTTTAATGATTAAGCTGGCTGTACTAAACAAGTTCTTAAATCAATAGTATGACTGGTCAAGCTCTTAAGGTGGAGTTCTAAATAGTCCTGTAGATTGAAACTACAGTGGATAACTGAATGCAGTTATAATGCATAATTATTAGGATAACCAAATAAAGTTATGTTGCATGCTCAAGGTAAGTCTCTTTAACTTCAGTACATTGATTTATTTTCAGACTTTGGTTGACTGTCGCAAGGATATTTGTGAGAAACTAAGTCTTAGCCTTGAGAATGTTGAATTGAGTATGGGAATGTCAAGTGATTTTGAGGAAGCTGTAAGTGAAGGCATATTATTGTGTCATGATTCATTGGTTAACCCTTAACATGCTTAACACCTTAACATCAGTATGCATATTCTCCATACTGTTTTCAATACATTTCCCATGGTGCAGACAAGGGATTTTGTTTAACATTCAATTAGAGCTTCTTTAGTTGTTGATGATATCCTTTATTCTTGTGATCTTTGTTTGATTCAGGGGTGATACTGTAAGGAGAAATTAGATGCTAGGCACTCTTATGGGTTAAAGGGTTAAATTGAAGTGGTTTCCTTATGTAAACTTTCTCTTTTAATTTGTCAGATTTTAATGGGAAGTACAAATGTTCGAGTGGGTAGTACCATATTTGGTGCAAGGCAACCCAAACAGGCAAGCAATGTTTCTTCAATGCAGGGGAGCACTCAGCTTACCTCACAGGAGGCAAATTTATCTGATGCATCACAACAGAATGTTACCAAGGATGGCTTACCAAACCTGGCCGCATTGAACACAGACAATTCAACTGATAGAGATTCACACACTGCGCTCAACAGTACTACATAACAACACCACCGTTTTCATCTTTTTTGATCTTCTTCAACCTTGAACACTAGACGAGTTTCCCTCAATTGGAAGATCGATATTTTGTTGAGATATTTAAAAAATGTTTGAATCGGAAGCAAACTCAGTGGTTGGAGGTGAATTCTTCCTGTGTTCGTGTCAACATTCAAGTGCTATATCCTGATGTTGAAATGCTGTGAGAAGAAAATTCCAAATTCAGTTTGTAGCACAGATTGATTCCTTAACATTTGCTTATATTAAACTTGAAGCTATACTAGCTTATATAATACTGAAGACACATCATCATGAATAACTTATTTAAGAATTGCCATGAAAAGGAGGTCGAAGGGACTTAGTTACTTTTATGTTTACTTTGCCTTCTATGTGTACGTATAAAGATGGGGAAATGGGTTTTAGCTGGTTATAAGAAATTCATTTTCAACTACTTGCCGACCTTTTCTTGCCACTAATGGTTTCGATGCCGGTTTAAAAATGGGAGAAAGAAGTTTTATGTTTTTGTCTCGTTATATTAACGTATTTTCGCCGAAGCACTAAGAAAAGTAAAATTATAACTATACACGGCTTTCAGTGGTTTGTTAATAAATGATTACGGAGTCACCAATTCATCCTCAAAGGTTTTCTATCAAAACTATGTCCCACATGTTATTTATTACTTACGTAAAAACAGCGTTTGTTTTTTAATGAACAGAGGTTTGCGAAAAATTTCCCCGAAATTACCCAGGCTTTCTAAGAATACGTAAATTACAATATCCTTTTAGACAATACTTGGT